CTCTATTTTCCCAGGAAGGATTGCTGGACGAGAGGGCAGCAGACACAGAGTGCACTGGCACGAGGGAGCGGACACATGAGCACAACCACTGGGAGAAGACACGGAGTGGAAGTCGGGAGCACACGGGGATGTATTATTGTTGTGTATCAGTTCCATCACTGTAAATAAACGCACTGCTTGTACTTAGAGCACCGCGCCTGGGTCCTCCTTCCCCACACCCCTCACGGTTTGCCATGCCAAACTGTGACACTAAGCTCCCTGGGGTGGATGAAAGCTTTACTTATTTTATATGCTAACTACTGAATCTGCTATTTGTTCTGGAAATACTACACAGTTTAGTAACCTGTCTGTCAGCTCAAATCAAAGGTTCAAAATGTGATGCAAAGGAAAGACCACTGGCATGCTCCCTCCATTTTCCCCCAGCTGCTATCAGAGGAAACTGCAATAAAGTGTGGCCTGTAGAATTCCTAGAGATATAAATCACACGGTTTACACAAAAACCTAGAGAGTATAAAGCTAATACTATCAGGTAAAAGGTACAGGGTACCAAATTGTGAGTTGTTCAAATTATATTTATATTTTCTTTAGTGCTCCAATTTGTCAAACCATTGAATAATAATAAGTAAACTGTAAGTGTGTGCATGTGAAATGGTATGATGATTAATTTATGTGATGTTTTTTCTTGAATGACAAAGCAAAATTTCTTCGAAGGGAGACAACAAAGGCTAATCTAATCTAAACTAAACGGTGGAATCATAATCCTCAGAGTTTATCCGCTCCTTTTACCAGTGCCAGCATGCTTATCTAACTGCTTTGCATCACACAAAAAAGTGAAGTGGAGCTTTTGCTCACAGAGCCTCCAAGTTTTTTGTTCTCTACACTGAGTTCAACAACAACAAAAACTGCAGAGCTGACACTGGCATCAATCAGAGTTGATTGATATCAATCCTTAAATAATTGTAATAAAAGTTTCCATTTTCCCACTTTTTAACAGCTTGATCTGATGCTGAAACAACAAAACTTGAATGTTCTTCCCCAGGCCCAATGGGGGGAGAAAAGGTTAACAATACAGGAGAAAGTCGTCCAGTGTGTACAGGTGGATTTCACTAATCTGATGCGGAATAAATGGTTGAAGAGCAAGATTGACAACTATGAAAATCCGGTTGTGCAGGATACTGCTGCATTGACTGAACTATTACAACCCTAATATTGCTTACTATTCAATAGTTACAAGCACATGTGACTACCTTGTGTACGTAGATTCACATTCTGTTGCACCTTTATAACAACTATACAGGCAACCGACATGTGGGGCCAGTCAAAAACAACCTAAGGACACAAAGTACGACTTTAATTGAAAGGTCTCCTTCGTTTACAACGCTCGACAGAACCATAACAGGCCAAAATCTACTATATTATGGCATTGTATAAGTAACTGCAGATCTTCTGACATTTCAAATTAATTTCCTGGAGTAGACTTCAGTAGAAATTCCAAAGAACGCAAATGAATATTGGACAGCCGTGATAAGCTAGCGGTTTATGGCTATAAACTAATGTTGGTTATGCTAACGGATAGCATAATACAACCCTAGCTAGCCAACTAGTTAACTGTTGTAGATATCCCAACCAGCTTAATAAATCTATTCAGTTACCACATTTTATTTATTTATTTAAAAATTCCCAATTCATTTCCTTTTTAAAGGAATGAGAAAAGTCAGAGAATTGTTTAATGAACCGGCAGGTTTAAGCTAACTTCCCACTCCTAACTATTTACCAAGCCCAGGCAAGATGCACAGAGCGCGAGCGTAACCATCCAGCGGCCGGCTGCTCCTTGGCCGCCCCTTCCTCCGCCAACCACCTCCACCCGGTCGTCGCTGTTTTGTGTGGTCTTTCTCTTCGCCCCCTTTAGTGCGTTCTTCATTTCTCGCCCGGTGTCCTTCCTCTTGTCAAACAGGGTGTCCTCCTCCTGGTCGTCGTTGTCGTCCTCCTCCATACTGGCGAAATGGACGTGCTTCTTTTTAATATCGGTGTCACGCGTGACGGACGTAGACATAGCTGTCAGTCTAGCACCGAGAGAGAGAGAGAGAGTGTGTGTTGCTGGGAGTGATGGTGAGCTGTCACAACGCCGCTAACTGCTGACTGACTACAGATAATAAAGCGAGTCTTTTATCTCCTCCCGTTCTGGCGCCTCGTGTTTGAAGGCCGCAGTTGGTTAAATACACGAATTTTTTGAGTCGGATATCTTTAATGCGACGGTGACTGCAGGGTACCACCGCTGCATCCGTGGAATCCCTCCGTATGTCAACAGCTGCTGCCTGTATGGCTGCTGAAGGTTTGCAAAGATCATCTATTGTGATTGATGCTCACTCCGTGTGTAAAGAGACACCTTCCTTTTGAATAACCTGAATATATATATATTTTTTTACTTTAATTATATTAATAAGCAAGCACTGTTTTGTAATGTTATCACTTTCACCTGTGCGTTTTCGTGTTATTGCAAATCAATGAACCTGGGACCTATGCAAAACCCAGAATGCCATGTGCCAAAACAGGCCATCGCTTCGCTTTGTTTATGAGCTTTTCAGTACCCTGAAATCATGGCAGAGTAAGACCTCTGTTTCCACTGGCTGTTCACAGCTCAAGAGCACCAAATGATCCAGGGCTGCACCTGTCATAGTAGTAGTTAGAAGCCTTTTCTGCCTGGCAGTAGTGAAAGCACATGGCGCCATCTAGAGTTTGTACCAAGTAAACTGGCTGAGCACAAATAAAAACCAAAGCATGTAAGAACTGTTTGATTACTTGGCAGCAAAGTTACAATAGGTCCAGGCTGCTGGGGGCATCCCACGATGCACTGTGTGTTTCTTCTTCACTCAATCCTCCCTCAGCCTAGTTCTGCTGGAGGGTTTTTCCTGTTAAAATTGAGTTTTTCCTTCCCACTGCCCCTAAAGCGCTTGCTCATAGGGGGTCATATGATTGTTGAGGTTTTCTGTGTATTACTGTATGGTGTTTCCTTTACTATATAAAGCTCATTGAGGCAAATGTTGTTGTGATTTGGTGCTATATAAATAAAACTGAACTGACTTCAAAGACCTGAATTTTAAAAATCCTCTTTTCTCCCTTAAACATTTCAAGTCCAACATTCTTTTGTAAATTCTCAGCTATGTAGAATAACTGCTAATGCCAATGCATTAGTGCATATAAATATTATATTTGACCTTATTTATGAACTACAATTTATACAATCTTATATTTCCTTAAGAACAAGAAGAAGAATGTCTTTTAATTTCAAAAGTATTGGTAACAATAGCTCTCAGATAAATGTCAAAGCTATTACAGATACTTGTGAAATTGTAGTTATTTAGTAAAATACTCCACTTTAAATTAACTTCTTCGAATTAAAATACCTGACGTAGCCCTCTCACTGTGGTGTGTTGGAGCCTGAACACCTATAAGAGAGGTTCTAATAAGAAATTGCAGTAGTCTGGCCTGGACATAACAAGTAAGCATAGAAGAAAACATACAGGAGTCAATCTTAAATGTAAATCTTAAAGGTTTTGCAGTGTACTTCATGTGGCAGCATGATGTGGTTTTGTGGGAGCAGGTCTGGAACACTTGTCACATATTTTCTGATCTGTTCTGCCCGTTCATGCAGAAGCACGCTGGGACCATTCAGAGAGGAGCTTGCAACAAGAAGGAGAGCAGCTGAAAAAACACACTGAACACACACGATGCACAACAAGGAACAACAAGCACTGTAGGAAAAAATAAAGAGCACAGCAAACACTGTCTGTTGTGCTAGCTGTTGGGAACCTACGGTGGTTCTTACTTGCTGTGATATGAATTTTCAGTCTCCTTTTATGGCTTTGTTTTTTTATAGAATAGCAAAGTGATTGGTATCAAATCCTCTATCAGAGTTGCCCATACGCTCTGATGCTGACTCTGCATAGAATGCTGCACAGAGTCCACCGTCAGAGGCCATAAAAAGATTATGACTAACCTACACTGGTGCTGTTCCTGTGCTGTGATGAACTCTAAATCCTGACTGAATCAGGTGAACCCTCTTGGGATAATATGTTACTGTGAGGCCTATATGATATGAAGGGACATAATCATTCATGACTTTGTAAAGTAGAATGAGGATTTTAAATTCAATTCTAGGTTTAACATGGACTCAGTAAGGAGAAGTCAATATGGCAAATGTGATATTTCTACCTGATCTCTTCTAGAACTCATGCTGTGGTATTTTAGATCATTTGAAGGCTTTTCAGGGAGCCTGATACTAAATAATAACAGTCCAGACAAATATTTACATTTGTTTCATGTGTCCTAACCCGGGCAACAATGACGCCAGGGTTCCTCACAGTAGTACTCGGTGCCATTATATTTATTCTTCACATGGAATTCATCTATCCATCCTTAACTGCTTGTTCTATTCAGGGTCATGGGGGGTATTTAAATTTAAATATATATTTTAAAAAATGTCTTGTTACCTTTTGTCTCACACTAACACACTCTATCCCAAACGTCTACTGCAGCTTGTTTGAAATTAAACACATGACTGGATATACTGGTTTGATAGACGCCCTTTAGGAAAAAAACAAAAAAACATTACAAGCCCCTTATCTACATATAGGACATTCATTAGCTCCACATCAGTACGTGCTCCCCACCCCCAGGCAGTGCTTTCTGACTGTTAAGAAATCCTGGTTCCTTTACTGAGATCCATAACCTAATAAAAGTGCAGAGAGTATATAACAGGCAGAAGGACTAAATCTAGACAAATCATCTAATCACAAACGCTCACACAAGGTGAAAAGAAGATAAAGATTATTAGAGAAAAATTGTGAAGGAGTGGCATGTCAGTGTCTCACAGGTTCAAAGGTATAAAGTGTTTTTGTTCATGTTCAGTTTTACTGCACTTGATTTTACATCTTGATTAAATGAACTTCAGTGCTTTCTATGATCTATAGGCATAAATTAAAAAAAAAAAAACAGATAACTTAAAAGTAAATATTTTTACTGTTTTTAAAATGATTAAAATTAATTGTGTTTACATACATTGCATATACTGTTGTTCACAACACATCCTGCAACAGAGGAAATGTAGACACATTCATATTTAAGAACACTTTTTGGGGAGAATACATGGAAAAGGACGGAAGCAGTAAAGATGCAGCAAATAAAGCCAGTGGCTGGATTAGATGGCAAAATAACAGCAACTAAATACTGTTAGGCTTTGGTGTGTAAACTTCAGCAGATTGTCTCAAAGATTTTGGTCTAAAGTAATCACCAAGTAAAAATAAATCATGCAATTTAAAACAAAGCATCTCTTTGGTTGGCACATATCATTTCTAGAGGCACATATGACCGAACAGCTAAATAAAACAAGTAAAAGAGCGAATAGAGTGCAATGAATACATACAACAAAGCATTCATATTCATATATGGCAATGAGAAATTACTCGAGGCTCTCACAAATGAATAGCACTATGATGGCACTCCACCATAAAGAGTCATGCACATCATAAGGATAAGACATGTGATTTAAGCATAGTATTGGAAATGCTGAAGGTTTCAGTCACTTTGTGCATTAAAATAAAATAGAATAAAATAATGGCAACATGTTTTTCATTAAAGAGCAAAGTTAAGACGTATTCACGGTGACAGGACAGTACAGACAGGGAGCAGAGCTCTGCTATCATCTGAGGTAGCGGGTCACAGGTCTGCAGAGGAAAAAAAAACACTGACCCACAGCATTTCTATGATGGAGATTCATTTCCCTGGCGGCGTGAGTTTTCCAAATATGCAGTCCACCGCAGTCAGTGATGGGGGACATCACTTGGTTCACTGGCACTAAATAGGGGGCTTTGGGCAGGCAAATGAGGGCAAGCAAACATTTCATTTGTGCACAGTTTGGTCTTCAGTCAGTTCATTTAAGGCTTTTAACAACATGAAAGTCTCCAGAAGTGAAAAATAAATAAAACACAAAACAGATACCTTTCTACTGAATGTCATTGAACTGGACAGAGTTAATAATTAATGGGACTGATGGTCACATAGTCAATTATTAGTTAGACTCACGTCCACAATTCAAACAGAGGAGTCTCTGAAATGATTCAGTAGAGTGAGTAGATCATACAGAGGTGAAGGAAAATGCACAATGTTTTCTTTGGGCCATTTAAGAGATCATCTGACATGAACTGGTCAACTGTTAATGAATGCTGCACAATTTAAGTATGAACTCAAATATGAGAGAAAATTACAAGAAAATGAACAAAAACGGTCCCCATCTGGCAGTAGGCTTTGAGTTAACAAAGGAATGAGGATTCAATTAAAAAGTAACATCTTCCAATTTCTTCGAATGTGCCCACTCAGCATGTTGCTAAAACAAAACCCACTCATGCCCTAACTTGGCCAGTGACCTAGAGTTCAGTTCAGCTCTTCATCCCGCTGTCTTTGAAAGAGCAAAGTAATCAACAAACTGATGCAGTACATCAGATACACATGGCCAATGTAAGTGGTGAATGTCTTCTTATGTGCTGATAGGCTGAAAACAGTCAACAAAGTTTTAAACAGATATGACTTGATGATAAGTGAACTTTCACAGTGGCTAGAAGTCCTATTTTTCCTACTCCAGACTAATATTTTCTGCCTGCTTCCAGTCTCTGTGCCTTTTTTAGGATAACCAGTTGCCACATATTTACTTTCTAAAACTATTTCTTTAAATATAACATCTAAAACACTGAGGAGGTTTGATTTAAAGCAGCCTCTTTGAATGAATCAGTTACAGTAGCAGATTAACTGATGACACAGTTGCAGGGGGCTTTATAGAACCCACCCTCTTTATGCTTTCATGTTTGTATAATGTGATCATTAATAATTCAATAGTGGTAATTTTGGAAACACAGTGCAGCATAAATTCTGGGATGCTCCACAGCATGGGATCAAGAGTGGATAATAACCTTAACCCCTTAAAGCCTGAAATATAAAATAATTGCAGGAAAAATCTTGTTTACTGAACCATCAGACAAATTTGTTTAAAAATTAAGTACATTTTAATTATCTTATATGACTTTTAATTTGTACCATATATTTGCTACCTCTAGTATTTAAAAAATGTATTGTGCAGTTTATTTTGAATTTTTCAAGGAAAAGAATTACGGGCTCAGTGTGGTGAATTTAGAGCTTTTGGGTGCCAAGCTCTGCTTGGTGAGTTAAACAGCCTTTAAATGATCAGATTTCCTAGATCCAACCTCGGAAGGGAAGCTGGGTCAGCATCTCTGACAGGACATATTTTATTGTGCTTCCCAAAGCTGCATCCTTACAAGCATCTTTACAGCTCAGATTCCAGAGTCAGACAGAAAAACCTAGACTTTTTAGAGCACTTCTCTGAGCCGATAGTTACTGTGTGTCTTTTAAAACACCAATCATTGATTAGGGATGCACTGACTGTCAAAAGGACCGATACCAGTACATATATCAACGGTAATACAGATACTGGTACTGAGACAGATATTGATGTCTTAAAGAGCATCTGGAAGCCTGCAGATAACAGTATTTGTATTAGTTTTTGTTGTTATCTAGTTCCCGGTTTGGTCCAGGAAAACAAATATAGCATATTATTTCATTTGTGTCAGGGTTTTTTTTTTCAGCTTTTGTTAACTTTTAGGCAGGACATCAGTATATGCCAATTTATTTTCAGAAATGCTGGTATCAACCAACACCGACCGCTGTATCAGTGCACCCCTAAAACAGATTACATAGCATACTGGAGGACATAAAGATGACAGGGTTAAATATAAATCTTTGGCAGACTGGTTCATTATGAACTTTAATTTAAATTAACACCATAAATTGTTTCCTATGTTTTTCTGTAAGCCCAGTGAGAATGGCTGCTGACAGAGTTGATCTTGGACACAGTACTGCATGCCTAACTCTTATTGTGACAAAAAAAAAAGTCCAGTTTTCCCCATTTTCAGCTACAATTTCAAGCTTGCCTGATGTAAGATTAGTTCAGTCTGATGCATAGTTCTTCAGGATTACATTTACGTTCAGCTTCAACATTTGACTCTGATATGTTTGAACACTTTGGCATTTTTTCCTACTTAAAACAGTCTTCAGTTAAACACAGATATGCACAGAGTATCTTAATACTATCAATGAGCAGCAGCAGCCTCAGTCTGACCCCCTGCACCTCTCTGTCAGTCTCTCTCTAGGGGTATTTAGAGGACAGACTCTCCTGCTTTGTGTTGCACAACTTCTTGAGCCTTTTCATGATTCATCATCTTCTGGTCAGCGTCCTGCTCCCCTTTCACGGCCTCCTTTTTCTCTCTTCTCTTGTGCTTGGCTTCCACCCAGGGTATCAGACACAGCAAGGCCCCGCCAATGATCGGTGGGACTCCTGCTAGGTAGAAGGCCATGTCGTAATATCCCATTTTGTCCCTCAGATAGCCTGCAACCAGATAAAGGGGGGAAAAACGGTCAAATAAACACAGCTAAAGGTCAATGTTTACGATCACATCCAAATGCAAAGAGAAACACAAGTGTCAGAACTCCTAAACATCACAAGATTAACAGCTGGTGCTGACCAAGATGTCATTGACTTTTGTCACCTGTATGGCTCCTTTACATATGTAAACTCTCCTAATGAAGATGGCTTCCAGCTCTAAGCATTTACCTAAAGAAGATCCTTATCACATCACTTACCCTGTGATGTTTTGGGAGAGGTAGTCTAAAAAGTTAATTGAACAGCCACACACACACACACACACACACACACACACAACTGATTGTCTTCCAGGAAGCCCTCTGCACATGAAGCTCACGTGAGTAAATGCACATGCTAGCAGTAAACCTTTAGTGAACCTTTGGTCACCTTTGGCATCCAGCACTGAAGAAGTCTCGCATTTTTTAAAATCCACATGTAAACAGCGTCAGCTAGAAACATACACACACACTGATTAGCCACAATATTGAAACCACCTGCCTAGCAGTGTGCATGTCTCACACCTTTCAAAGCATAGCTATCGGGCATCCTACAGATGCTCAATCGTGCTCATGATTGAGATCTGGGGAATCTGAAGATTAACTGAACACTATGAACTCTTAGCAATGTTCCCAATGGTGGAATGCGTTATTCTCCTTAAGGAGTCAGTGATATTAGGAGATGTTCTTGGGAATGCAACTCCCACGTAACTGTTTCCAGCAGAAAATTGGCCCAGGAGTCTGTTGGCTTGTCTTATAATGCATCTTGCTGCCACCTCTTCCCTGTGTAGATAAGTGCACACACTGGCTCACATGATTCATCAGACCAAGCCATCCTCTTGATTCATGATCCAGTTCAGAAACTCACATGCTCAGTGATCCTTGTGCACTCACCAGCTCACTGAATGTCCTTTTTGTAGGTACACATAACTACACAGTTGGAATTACCCCAACGAGGATATATATATAAGAGTATGCATGTGCTAGATTTTTGAAGCTAGTTAAGGCCAAGGATCCAAAGTGACTAAACTGCCATATTATTAGATCATCAGTTTAGTGTGGGCATGTGTCATATGTTCAGGGGTTACCTGAGCATGATCACAAATTTCAGTTTACTCCTGCTTTACCTGCAATAGGGGGGCCCACAGTCATGGGCACAGACATCAGGCCTAGCAGGAAGCCAATGGCCTGGGACACATCTTTGGCTCCAACCAACTCAAAGGCGATAGGTGCCATGATGCAGATGAAGCAGCCGTCAAACAGTCCCATCAGCAGGCACACTGCGATAAGCCCGCCAAACACATTGCACAGGGGGATCATCATGGACATGAGACCGATGACGAAGAAGGACGCCACCTAAGTAGAGAGATTATTTTGTTAATTGTTATGGTTTAGTACACTCTATATATTCAGATTGGATGCAAAACCAAAAGAAACCCCTCATTTTACTTTAACATTACACGAGAAGGCTCATGTAATGTTAAATCTTCATCCCCTATTGTAAGACCTTTAACTGGCTTAAAGGTCTCACTGTGCTATGATCCTCACATGATCACTAAAATGCTATTTCAGAGAGTTTTTAATGGTCAGAACTTCTGCATTCAGACAATGTAAATCTGCTTACACGACTGTTGAGGCCACACACTCACTTGCAGGAACACTTTGTTGACTCCGCTAATGTAATCCGCCACTATGCCGAAGATCAGTCGGCCAATGCCAGATGTTATACCAATACACATGAGCAAAACTTCCTTATTGGTGTCTTTTCCAAAACGCTCCTCCACGTGTTTCATCTGTGGACAGTAAATGAAAGATGAACACAGCTGTTTCATTTCTTTAGTTTACTGCAGTTATATGATGCACAGTACAGCACATTTAAAGAATTACAATACAAACTGTGAAACTGCAACCACTGACTAAAACCTCATTGGACAGTGCTCTTTGCTTAGTCATTGTGGATTTGTGTGTTAACTACATAAAGATATTTGCCTGAGATCTAACCTCACTGGACACTTAACTAGGTACACCTTTCTGGTACCGGGTTGTACCTCCTTTTGCCTTAGGATTACTTAAATTATTCATGGCAAAGGTTTACCAAGGTGCTGCAAATATTCCTCAGAGATTTTGGTCCGTGTTGCCTCGACAGCATCGCACAGTTGCTGCAGATTTGTTGGCTGTACATCCATAATGCAAATCCCCTGTGCCACCTCATCCTAAAGGTGCTCTATTGGATTAAGAGGAGGTGGCTGAGGAAGCCATTTGAGTACAGTGAACTCATTGGCATGTTTGAGAAACCAGTTTGATGATAAAAGGCAGGAAGGAACCACGCTTTCACAATTTTGGTGACTCTGCCAACCTGTAGCATCAGTTTTCTGTTCTTGGTTGACAGGAGTGACACCTGGTGTGGTCTTTGTTTTTTATAAGTCTGTCAGCACTGTGCTGCACTCCTGTGGAGGCATATAGTTGAATGAAGAGAGAGAAAATTCACTCAACTTTTCACTTAATGTATCTTTTACTTCACATTCTGCATGCGTTTTTCAGAAATCTGGGGTTGAATGGTTTTGCAGAACTGGGTTCAAAAAAATGTCTGGTTTTACAAATCCTTTTATTTATATGACAGCAGCCATATTTCAGGCAACAGGTCAGTTTGTTGTTATCATATCATCAGATCCTTTTATCTAGCTTGTCCATATTTCAGTGCTCATTTGTATTTCAGCTTCCAGTGAATGCCGTTTTCTAGTTTACACTGTCCAGATGTTGGCTTTCCACATTATCTCCTGTAGCCACGTCATTCCTACTGCTAAGCATTAATCTGTGAGGACCGAGAAGAGAAATAGGTGCGTGCTGTGTTTCTACCTCCAGGCAGTGTGCAGCAGACTTCTTCAAAGGACCTGCTGTCTGCTGATGTATAGACCCATCACCATCACCCCCTACACTTTCTGGCAGTCACACATACATCCCTAAGACTTCTGGAAGACTTACATTCTTTGCCAATGTACAACAACATGCTCTGTCTTTAGGAGGGAAGTCTTACATCCAAGAAGCAATGCTACACACATCTTTGTTTGTTTGTATAAGTGTCAGGAGATTAACTTATGATACACACACTCAGTTGAGGCTGACCAGAGGGAGGATAGTTTTAAAGTGAAGTTAGATGTATCTTGAACTTTGCCACCTAGAATTCTGCTTGGAAGGTTCACGTGACAAACGTGCTGCTCCCTCAATCACACAATCACATTATCAGACATAAACCAGTGGACAGTTGATAATTGTTGAAATTTATTGCTTCAGCCTAGCCTTCTGAAGGTGATTGATATTCTTCATGTGTCATACCGTAGTGAATACCTTATGGAGAATGTGGTTCAGTCAGGAAAAGCAGACCAAGAGAGTCATATAGCAAATATGTAAGATAATATGGAAGTGTATGAGTTACAACCTAGCATCACCTACTCACTGCCATGATGAGATCTATGATACCAGCCAACTATCAGTCAAACAAAGATCCTTTGTTCACAGCTATATAGCTGGTAAACGATCCTGGATCTTTTTTTAGACAATTCCTATCTGACTCATTCCCACATTATCAGGTTAGGTTACATTTTCAAAGCTTCCTGCTCCAACCGATATATATATGTAAAGAAAAATAAAGTGGTTCATCTCATAGATTCTCACCCAGCAAAAACAAGATTTTTGACAAACGCATGCATAGCTGATGACATTACATTAAGCATAACAACTACAGAGTGTTCACTGAAGTTCTCAGTAACCTGAGCTGCTACTTATGACTAGTTCAGATGTCTAACAAAGAAATCTATAGTTGGTGGATTTAGCAACGTAACAAACTAGAGCACCTTAACACAAAATACATTTAAATTATAGGGAGAGTTTTCCCCTTTAGAGCCCCACTGTGCACCAACCCAACCTTCCCACGTGCTGTCGTTCTCCTACTCTCTCGCAGATGTGTAATGATCATCAAACATCCAGCCCACACACTGCAGCCCTGCAGGTGCTCCTCATTAAAAAAATGAAACAAGCTTATTTTAAAAGTAGACACAGCTATCTGAAGAAAAGTACGGCTCTGAATGGTCCTTTATGGTGTTCCATGATTCAGTTATGTTGATTCAGGAAAGGGAGGACATGGATTATCTGTCTTGATGATAAGATCAAACTTTCTAACATATTGGCCTTCAGCAAGTTGCATAATTTTCACAAATTCCTTTCCCACTTTGCACTTGGCAAAGCAATAGCATACCTTTTATCAAGCCATTTACAGAGCAAACACAAAGGCAACTTCTTTTTTCTCTAATCAGCAATAAGTTGAGAACTGGACTTTACTCTTTAAGTAAAGAGGTAAGCAAGATGAAAAACATACGTGGTACTAGGGCAAGGCTATTTCAAAAGGCCGCGCTCAGCACTTTGCTCAAGGAAATAGACACTATAAAAAAATAAAAAGTATACAGCTGTTTGGAGGATCTGACAGGACTCCGTTCCAACAGGCCGAACAATATGCTGCTGGACGGATGTTTTTCTGCTTTTCCATCCCACAGGGCTGGGACTTTAGGTGCAGGTAGGGGGGAAGAATGGCTGCTGAGGCTGTTAGTCCAGTGCTGCTGCTGAGGCTTCAGCCAAATCCAAGTGTTATCCCAGTCTGTGTAGCAGACATGAGAAGTGTTGGGAAAACACAGGCATTGATCCACAGGACACTCTGATCTCCCTCCAATAACAAAGTCACCGTCTCCAAATAAACAGTCATCTCCTGAGTCTTTCCAGTACATACAGGCTCCCCTTCAGCAGCCCTCCCAAGACGTTTTCTCTAAGCTCAAAGTTTCCTATCTTAAAGCAGAAATAAACACTGATTTAGGGAAAGCGACACATGTTTACGGAACTGCAGATTTAATCCTCCTTCCATATTATGCCACATTCACCAGGACCACACAGCTAAATAATGAACACATGCAAAAAGAGCCAGGCAACCCACACTACAAAATCAGCTGACATCTACCTGCCGAGACTGATTTTCTTTAATCATGTTTTGTTTTGTTTTGTTTTGAATATGTCTGTCTTTGAGAGTCAGGGCTCTTTGCCAATGCTGTAGAGTCACACTATATTGTATTTGTGTTGTTGAAAGCACTGAATAGTTATATTTCAAAATGGCTCAGTAGTTCTACAAAAGTATCATTGTATTAAGAAAGGTGAACTAAATATCTAGTAAAATATAATATGTAAAAGTAGCCCAAAATTGACCATAAGTGGTTAGGTAACCATGTCACAATTACACACAGAGGCCTTTATTACAATAAATTCCAATTTATATTTCAGGATTGTGCACAAATACATTAGCAAACTGTGTTTGTTGAGCTATTCTTTAAATGCGCCATCTTAAGCAATTTGGCCTTGTGTTCATTTTAATTGCATACATCAGTGTAATTGCATTGCGCTGATGGACCCATGGCTCTGCAGGCAGTGCAGGTAACTATTTTTTAAAAAACATTAAAATGCAGGGAGACCTCATCACCGTTTAGCATCACCGCTGGCGTCCACCAAAGCTCAGCCCTGTCACCCCTGCTGTTCATCCTCTGCATGAACACAGCTTTGGCCAACCTACAATAACCAATACCTTGGACCCTCCTTTACGCAGACGATGTGGCACTCGCAGACCCAGACCACCTGCCCCTACAAGAGCAGTTGCAGGAATGGAAGGACCAGCTGAAAGAAAGTGGAATGCACCTGAACACCAAGAAGACGGAATATCTAGAATGTGGCCCTCAGATCCTGGGATTGATCCAGATCGACGGCCAGGAGTTAAAGAAGACCGCCCAATTCAAATATCTCAGGTCCCTGGTCTAGGCGGACGGCGAGACTCTCCTGGATGTGCGCTCACGAGTCAACACAGCATGGCTTAAATGGCGTAATTCACCGGCATCCTGTGCGATAAGAGGATGCCTGAACACCTTAAAGCCAAGATCTACAAGACAGTCCTATGGCCGGTGGCCCTATATGGAGCAGAATGCTGGCCAGCCACCAAGAAACACGAGCAGATCCTCACTGCCATGAAGATGAAGATGCTCAGTTGGATGTCTGGGCTTAACCCGCCCGGATTGTGTGACAAATGAAGATGTTCGAAAATGACTCAGAGTTGCCCCAATCGAAAAGATGATGAGGGAAGCATGCCAACGGTGGTATGGACACGTCATGCACAGCAAGGAGAATTCGGTGTCAAGAAAAGCATGCAATAGTAAAACTGTAATCTTTGTGCCACTTTTGTGCATTTGTATCGTGCCAAATAAGCCGTGCGCAGAGCACCAACATTCCTACTGGAATCTCCATCATTTCAAATCATTAAGGGTCTCACGAGGCAAGGTGTGAACTCTTTGTGCGACACTGCTCCACCTTGCCATCATGTGAATTATTACAGCCACATATTACACACACACATATTAGAATGACTGATAGTCCAATGATGACTCTTCTCTCAAACCATGTTTCCAAACTGTGAAGATTAGAATTCTCAAAGGAGTGCCCTCTCTCTGTTTGAGTGCAGATGTTCAGCTGAGTCTTGTCTTGAAGAGCTAGCTCTCCTATCCTGTGCCATGCATCAGCATGCACTTAGCTGTCTAGCTTGTGTTTAGATGTTTTGTCCTTGGGATTATAGTGATATTGAAGTGCACACTTGGAGAAAATTCGTCTGATTTTCCTTCACTGGTGCACGTGAAGGAACTCTGGAAACGTTCTCAAATGATGTGTTTTTCTGTCTCCTTTTGCATCCTCCCTTAAATACATTTTTTTTATTTATCACAGTTGCCAAAAAACAAAATATTAAAAGACAGTAACACTCTGTGCCACCACTGAATGTCTGGAAAATCCTGCCATGGTTTCAACTTCCCTTCCTCTCCCCTTTCACAATTCTGTTATTCACATAGCTGTTATGAGTTTTGATGACTGTGCTGTTGAAGCTAGCTAACCTCTCACCCTTATTCCTTGTTAAACGCACCAATAATGAGATCCAGAACCCAGGAGTAGGATAGTTGCAAAATCACACTGTGGAATCTTGGAATTGGCATGCTCCCATATGTCAAATGGATCATTACCAACCCCTTGTTTGGAGGGGAGTGAACGGCACATACACAAACAGTAAGTATGAATGCCAGCATAAATATTATTAACACAGCAGATGAAAGAAGTGATAAGTACTTACCAGATGAACATAAGGCACAAAGTAGCCATAGAGGGCAGCGGGAATGCCGAAGGCCCAGATGCGATATCCCCACGACTTCCAGATATTGACGTTGAAAATCTGTTTTAGGTGTGAGCTGCCTGTTTGGGAGTCTTTCGGTTTGACCGGCAGCAGGGGCTTGTAAGTGAAGCCAGCCAGCATCAGCACAAGCATGAGGATGCAGAGGACACGCATGGTGGAGTATAGGCCTATGTTTTTCAGTAAGGCGGACAGCACAAAGGGCATAGCGATCGTGAAGACGCTGCTGCCGGCTGTTACAATACCATTTACCAGGCCAAGGCGCTTCTTAAAGTAATGGCCAAGGATGACCAGGCTTGGCTGGTAGGCAAAAGAGCAGCCGCAGGAGAACACAATGCCGTATGTGAAGTACATGGGGCCCAGGGACCTAGGAGCAAATAAATAACATCATTGGCAACATTCAGAGTTGCCAATTCATCCACAAGATATTTCCCAGAACAGAATCAGTTCTTAGCAGCAGCAACTATAAAATAAGATGTCAAATGTCTTTAAAGGTAAAAAAAAAACGTTGTTTATGATACTGATTTTTGTTTCAAGAAGCTTTATCACGTATTAGGTTAAATTAAATGCAACGCAGTAACACAATTCTCATTCACATAAATCAAATACAGAGTAAGTCTCCTAACTCGTTCTCACATTAAGTTAATTTGCTATAACTTCAGTGACAACAAACAATTAGTTTAAATATTTTTAACACATTATGACACATTCTAACTGATGGTGCATATTGGTTTACATTGTCAGTGACTCATAATTATAAAAGCTATCATTTTAAACTAAGTCATTTTACTATTTCATGAAAACTGACAGACAGCATGTTGCTGCCACCAAATTCAAAATGACCTAATGCCTTTTCCTTAAAATAGTACATGTTCTTAGTTCCACTGTTAATAAAATATTTTATAGGTTTATGAGCTTTGCCAATCACTGCATTCTGTTTTTATTTACATTTTATACAGGGGCCTAGCGTTTTTGGAAATGGTTTTGCACACAGTGAGTTTCAAAGTTCTGTTTGGCTTAAATAAATATCTAAGTGCCAATAGCAGTCACATAGTAAGTCTGCAGCCTGAGAATTCAGCTTCCTGACCACAGTTTCTGTCATTTGACCAGCTGTAATTCAGCAGTTTTATTGCTTACTCTAGTGATAAAGTGTGTGCGTTGCACTTGTTGCGTTGCTTGAACCTCATATGACTGTGTGAGTGTTTTCTCACTTGTAGGCCACAATTAGATTCTAGGTCATTTTTACCATGAAGTCATTATTTTATATAAAATGTTTTGTTTTGGGAGAAAACTGACTGACAAAACAAACTGACTCATCGAATTGATCAAATAAAATCAGGCAGACCACACAGTCACACTGATATTTATTTTTATTTTTACCATTCAATTAACCAACAGGACTACGGTACAGTCCCCTTGCTCTCATTTTGAAAGTTTCGCCAAGTGAACAGAGTCACCGAGTTTGACCTCTTCACTATGTTTGTGATATTGGTATTTGATATTTAGGGTAAATGTGTTGTGCTGCAAGATACAGTCCATCCAAGACATTTGCGTTTGACTTTAGATGAGTAAATGTCTTGTATTTCATTTGTTACTTAGTACTAGTTAGCATGTGTCTATGCAATTTGCCCTCACAACATGCAGCCCAAAATGTTAACTTAGAAGTTTCTAAAAAGCATGATATATTATATTTGTGGAAACCATATAAGAAATCATGGGTGCCTTGTTACTGCCCCAAATACAATCTTTTTCAGTGGAAAACACTGTGTATGCATGGTTTGTCATGTGACAAAAAAGTGAAGCGAGACAGGCCTATAATACAAAGGTTTTGCCTGTACGTGCTAAGTTAAATAACAGTTAAAAGGTGCTACAAAAGAATTATACATAAAGCAAAAGCATGCTATCTTAGGAAATGTAAAAAAATTCTTATGCAGTTTTGAGTTGGAAAACTTCCTTACGTGACAAAGGAGCTACCCAGTAGGCCGACCAGACCCACAGCAGCACCACCCACTGCAACAATTCTGCAGCCGAGCATGTCGGTGAATATGCTGACGATGGGAGAGCAGAAGAAGATCATGCCCATGGAGAGGGAGCCCACCCATGCTGCAGGAGACACACAGTGGGAAGACAGAATGAATGTCATGATTCTATTATATTTCAGTTCAATTCAGTTGAATTCAATTCAATTCAGTATTATTTATATAGCGGCAAATCACAACAACAGTTGCCTCAAGGTGCTTTATATTGTAAGGTAGACCCCACAATAGTAGAAACAGGGGAGAAAAAAAACACCTTGCACAACTGTCTCCAGGAAAATACTTTACACTACAGACACTAACCGCTAAACAAAGGGTCATGTTGCAATAACAGAACACTATTGTTTCTGTATCGATGCACACGTTTACTCAAGGATACACACACACTGTACAGCTTACAAGGCAACCAGTCATCACATGCCTTACCAACGTCATGAGTTCCCTTTTTTACATCTTGGCCATTTTACTCCTGCTGTACTTTGTAATTGAATCTATTGAACTTAAGCTTTACAAATGCTTCTTACGTACATAGTCCATACATTTACACATTCCTTGTATGATTTCCTTCGTAGATGGAAAAGAAGCAAATAAACCATATGGTGACAGAACACACAAGATACAAAATACATTATTATTAATTTTCAAATACTGAGGTCGTTAGTAAGTCATACCTGTGAGCCAAAGGTTCAAGTTTACTCTAACTGGCATCAGTGAGAGGGGACAATCATAACATGGTCATCTCAGATTAACAGCTCCGGCTGTGCAAGCCTTACTCACCTGCTGTTCGAACTGTTTCTTTGCAAAAGCCAGCCAATGAGAAGAAAGTTCATTTTAATGCAGGGAGAAAGCCAAAAAAGTGTTTTAGACAATGGATGGACCCTTAAAAGGTAAATAAGAATTGCTGTGAACAAAGCTATTCTGTTAGAGTGTTTGTCATGACTATAGGGAAAAAGGCGAGAGTGACATGTTTTTGTACAAATGACTGCTGGGAACTGGGAACTTTCTCTTTAAGACATCACACATCCAATACCAGATAACAATAGAGACCAGAAATGCCTTCAGGTGAACAACAGGTCAGTACATGTGACACAAGCCATATAAAAAGTTGTTGACTCTGAAGCTAAGTCAGGTGAAACTTGTGGGAAAAGACCAACTGGAGCGGGAATGCTTTTGTTGTCTGTTTTTTACACGACTAACAGGAAACCCTTGTGTCAAGTTTCAGGGTTGTTGCTGGGATTTTATTCTCCTCACCTCACCCCATGCTGGCAGAGTATTAAGCAATCTCAGGTTTCCAAATGAAACAGATGCTATGAAGTTCCAAAGAAAAACACCAGTGTGGTTGTGATTTTAGGATTAATCTGGACAACACTGTCACCAGCTTCTCCCTTTTTAAAGTCACACTTGAGGAGATGTGTTTATTTCAGTGTGCCAAGAGTTTACAGTCAGCCAGCAACTGAGAGGCTTTATTGCTCACTGTTTAAATTAAACTGTCCACAGTTGTTTGACACCTAGTGGTCCCTGCGAAATGTGGCAACAGTTATTTTAATTTTATTTCTTGTCACAGTCACTTTTTTACACAACAGCAATTCACCATGATAGTTTAGATATTTGTCATGTAAGGATTAATGTTGTAAACACTAAATGCACTTATGTTGTTAGGTTCTGTATCAGTTTTACAGCCATTCCGTCATAAACCAAAGTACAAATTAAAACTTTGGCCTGATAACAAGGATGGACCGAAAGTCAGAGGAACACATAGTCTTTATCATTCGGGGGAACTCCCAAAGCTTCTTTAGAGTTATTCCAGACAACACAGTAAGTCAGAAAATGTTCACTCTAATAAATGCCAGTGAACGAGAAGAAGCAAGAATCCTTCAAAAGCAACAGGAAATTGCTGTTGTGCTCTTCTGGCTGTCTTGATTTAAAAGCATTTATGCTTCAGACAAGAGAAATTCTAGATTAAAAACAATGTCAAATCAGGATTCTCTGTGTCCCAGTGACATCCACCTCTAGCTACGGGCACTGCTTTAAATACTAGGAGACGAGTTTCCCTAAGTCATCCGTCTGCTTCGCTGGAACCCCCCCCCCCCAACTCTGAACCCAGTCACCCCACAACAACTGAACCTTGAGACCTAGGAAACTGCATAATACACCTGTTATCCACAGAAAACTGCAGATTTTAAAACTCAGAAAGCCTGTGTATCATTTGAGGTAACTACTTTGGGCATTCTTGCCTGATTTTCCCTAACAACCCCAAGAACTTCTGTAATGACACCATGCATCACGTGTTGTTTTGAAGGGGGGGGGGTCTAGTTTTTTTTTTAACAATAACTGAAATGTCAGTGTTTTTTTTGTTATGCTCAGTTATGCATTTGTGCAGTTTTAACTCTAATTTCTAATATTTCAAGCTAACTATTAGCTGAGTAGCTTAACGGCTCAATAAATTTATTAATTTAGAATATTTTGGCCGTTTAGTCATGACTTTAAAATTATTTTTAAAAAGTTTCTTAACTTTGTTTCAAGTACTGACAAATAATTACCACTGTTCACCCATTAATTATAATTAAACATCCCCTGTGCTATGTGCTGACAAGTTTAGCTATAGCATGTACGTTTATAAGTTCATGTCATTTTTCTTTATTTTCCTTCCTTAAAACAAATATATTTGTTTTAAGGATATATATATTTATCCATCTCTTTAATCCTAATTTCTATGAAACATCAAGTGAGATCACTGCACTGAATGCCACAAACGGAGCACTGAAGACTTTACTTAAATGTATGAATAAATTCAAAGGGTTTGCATTTAAAAAAGCTATTTGAAGAGTTATCTTATAACCAAAATTAACTAAAGCATCTAATGGATGAGGCATTTTGCAGTATTGAGGTAGCACAAGACTTGCTCAGGTAATTAAACAAACAGAACATCTCTATGAGACGTTCTAGGAATCTGTTGACCAAAGATACTCAGATGTTACCAATGTCTAGTTGAAACATGGAGAATGAAGACAGGCTTCATTTAACACCATAGACCACTTACAACTTACCCCGAAGTCCCAGGCTGTTCCACTATAATAAACACAAAGTGAGGAGGAAAAAGGTTTTAGCGACTAAAATGCTCTCACGGCCAACAAACCAAAATCAAGACCAGATGTCCCCCTGTATCAACACAGCACCAATGCAAAAGTGTTTGTTACCATAACGTAGTATTGACTTTAATGGCTTTAATGGAAGTGTTTTCGAGTAAATTCTTAAGCTTCACACTCGTAATCACTGACATTATATGCATATGTATATATATATGTATATACGTATATATA